CTCATTAGTGTTCAAGGCCTCAAACCTGTTCCTGAGATGATTCTGAAATTCAGGTGGTATGAAATCAAAGTCATATTTTGGCGCCTGTGGATTTGGTTTAATTTTCCTCACAGTTATATAAAGTAAGTTATTCTCTTTAAGATTCTTAAGAGGCTATCAGAGCAGAGATTCTCAATGTTATTTAGTAAAGCCTCAAAAAGCTTAGAAGCCTTGGTGGTGCAGTGCTTAAAGCACTCAACAGCTAACCTAAAGAAGTAGAACTCACCAGCTACTCCATGAGAGGAAGATGTGATGGTCTGCTTCTGTAAAGATCTACAGCCTTGTAAACCCTAGGGGGAATGTCTACTCTGTCCTGCAGGATTGCTAAGAGCCAAGGCAGTGAGTCTGGGGACTTAGGTATGAAGGAAGAGTCCTGGTGGCATACTGTATTTCATGTTTGGCTGCCAACAAAACTGTCAGCAGTTTAAATCCTCCACGGTAAAAAGATAAACATGTAAAAAAGTCCTTCCATAATGGAAAAAGTAATGGGAAAATGTCTCCCCCCATAAATATTGATGATCTTGGAAATGGAATTGAGGGTCACTGTGAGTCAGAATAACCTCAAAGATAGTGGAGTTTTATATATACACGGAGTATTTTTCTAGGGTCCTTAGCTTTCAAACTAGTTTTAAATTAAGAACCAACAACTTTTAAAGTTAAAAAAAAAAGTAAATACATTTCCTAAAGACCCATTTAAAATTTATATGGCGTGCCAGGAAGCAGTTCTTCCTTTAATTTTTTTTATTCCTGAAATGTAACTTACTGCTGCAAGTTTCTTCACTGCCACAGTTTTGTTGTTCACACAGCCTTTATAGACAACTCCAAATCCTCCCTCTCCCATCTTGTTACCACCAGCAGAAAGGGGTCGTTCATCAAAGTTATTTGTCACACTCTTCAATTCATAAAATGAAAAACTGTGAAAACCTGTGTCAGTAAGATAAAAAGCAAAGTTCTTGGTCAAAAAATAAATTAGTTCCAAGAATTTCAGCACTTTCTCCACTTCAAGATTTAGTATATATGTATTTATACTTTTTAATTAAATAACATGTTGTTGTTAGGTGCTGTTGAGTCAAGCACAACTCACAGTGACCCTCTGAACCAAAGACGTGAACTCTGTCTTACCCTGTGCCATCCTCACATTTTCTGACACACTAGCGCCCCCTGTGGTAGTCACTGAGTCAATCCCTAGGCAACACAGGAGAGGATTAAACCAATCAGTAAAAGCTGTCTTAAAGATTCTACTTGGTTCTTACTGATTGAAAAAAAAAAGTTATTGTCCCTATTTTCTTTTTAAATATAACTTTGTTAACTTATATATTTCTATATACTTGGGTTTCTTAACTTCTGGGGTTGTTTGCATATCTTCCTACTTTTACTCATTGACACTATATTAATAAAGTAGTGAAGATGGTGCTTAATAAATAAGGAGAATAAGCAAAACTATCAAAGAGTTATCTCCATGATTCTGAGTAACATATAAATAAACTAAAAACAAAAAAACCCCAACTCATTGCCATCGAGTTGAAACCAACTCATAGCAGATCCTCTGGCAAGTTTCTGAGGCTGAAAATGGTCCATCTTTCTCCCAAGGGGCTGCTGGTGGATTCTAGCTGCCAAAGAGACACCACTTTTCAGATAGCAGTGCTACTTACTCCCTTTGGACTATGCTACCAGATCGCTAACACAAGTAACAGGAATGATGTCTTCTAGAGCAGTGATGGATTTAACGATACATTCACCAATGGAAAGTATCCCTCTTCATATAAAAGTGTGCTTTCAATCTACTAAGCTATGCTACTTTCCCACATAATTGAATAACTATTAGCTATGTTGTTGTTGATTGCTGTTGAGTCGAGCACAACTCACAGTGACCCTATGAACCTAAAGACCTAAAGCCTTTCTATGACTATCATTGTTTCTCAAAGTTCATAGTTTCCAGAGGCATGTTTGTTTAGGAAGTGGATGCCACTCATATGAATTTTAATAAATCAGCCTGCTTAAAGAAAGAGAATATGCATACATATACACAATATCCACACATACTTACGGGTATCACAGCTTTCATTCAGTTTATCACAACTTTCACTTTCGGCACTGGAGGAGTCAGGTGGCATACAGTTTAGTTCACGATTCTGCACTGGTAACCCAGATGTCCTGTCTTTGCAATAGAGTGGTATGTGTTTCTGCTGAGCTGTTACCACTGCTACTACTTCTTGAGGAGGCAGCATATTCACAGCTTTGGGCACAGAATCTGCCAAATGAAATGTGGTATCAATTGCGTTTCACCAAGGGAAAGGTTTATAAAAAAAGTTCAAATAAGAACTTGGTTCATTTAACATCATCCCAATTTCCACATATTGGCTTCATAGCCAAGAAGCAACTTACAAGGATTAGTGAATATTAATTCTTAAGGTTGTGAAAAAGACATTACCGTTCAGTGTTGTTGAGTAGGCTGTGATTCACAGCGACCCTTTGTACAATGCTTTCCACTGGGATTCCCAGTACCCATTATTTCAGAAGTGGATGGCCAATCCTGCTTCCCACCCAGTGTGTCTTAGTCCAAAAGTTCTGTTGAAAACTGTCCACCATGGGTGCCCATGCTGGTATTTAATTCTGGTGGCACAGTTTCTAGTATCAAAGCAACACACACACTTCCACAGTATGACAAACTGAAAGATGAGTGGTGATAAAGATGAGTAGATGGGAAGCAGTGTTTTCAAAGAGTGTTGCATGGACCATTTCCACGAGAAAGAAGCACTGGAATACATGTTTAAGAATACAGACCTTGAACCCAACTCTACTATGATTCATTAGGTCTGGAACAAAAACCAAAATGAAAACCACTGCACTGAGCCAGATCCAATTTATAGTGACTGTTGGGCTCTCAGGACTGTAAGTCTTTATAACAGGAGACTGCTTATCTTTCTCCTGGAGAGTGACTGATAGATTCAAAGCACCAACATTTAGGTTAGTAGACGGATACAGCACATGCACTACACCACCAGTGTTTCTCAGGTCTTGAGAAGAGGTCAGGGATCTACACATTTAACAAGAAGTCCACATGATTCTTATACACAGTGAAGGTTCAGAATCATTGATGTAAATGGCTTAAGGCTATGAGGAAGGCAACACCGAAAAATATAATGTAATCTTAGAAAATTATCACCACTGTAATCCCAGAGGTACATGGTTTGAATCCATTAGATGCTCTGCTGGAGAAGGAGGGGCAATCTCCTCCTGTACCAGTCATATCCAATTTGATGGTACACACACACACACACACACACACACACACACACACACACAACAAAAAAATTAAAAGAAAAGAAATTCATGATCACAAAGTCTCAGCAGGAATGAAAGAATGAAAAAGACTACATGAATGAAAGTATGGGTCATCTACTAAGATCTTCTAATCCTGAATGTTGATTCCCTGGCCATGCTCTGTTTACCTGGTAGCAAAAGACTTGCAGGGGCAAGAAAGTCATTCTGTACTAAAAGATCTACAAGATCACCAACTGTGCAATTTGTGGTGCCCCAGTCAAACAGCAACTCAGCAGTGGGGCTTTTTCCAGCCAGAAGTAGTGCTTCAAATCTCCTTAAAAGCAAAGAACAAATAAAACAATGTTAATATATAAACAGAATATGAAATCATAAATAAAGTTACTATGACTTTAGAAAATAGAAATAGAGTCCCACTTCTCTAACCACACTATCCATGATAGTAAAGAAGAAGCAAGCAAGACAAACAGTGTCAATTACAAAGAAATAGGAAAAACAGGAAGAAGGGGAGAAAAAGATGTCAAAGATAACGAAAAGAAAAGCCAGTATTTGCTGTTTATGTAACTGAATACTTTGTAAGCTAAGTGAAGAACACATAAACTTACTTAATTCTAAAAGGTCCTATGATTATCATCTTTGTTTTACTAGTGAGAAAGTCAGGCATAGAAAAATAAAGCCATGAGCTTATGGTCACACAGCCAGTAAGCTATATCCAAGCTGATATTTAAATTCAAACTCTATATAAAATTGTGCTCTCGATCTAAGTTATTTGATTTGCCCACAAAGCTTATTAACTCTGTTAGTGAAATGAATTTTAATAAACCAGCCTCTTTAGAGAAACAAAATGTATACAAACCTAGGGAATTAGTCATTTGATTTTACCTATGTTCCAATTAACTTTCAAGTAACATCAGTTTTTTGGTCATTAAAAAAAATGGTTATGAAAAGTAACATTTAAAAACATAATCAGTATATTTTCTCTTTAATTGTTTTAACTTTGAAAAATTTATAACCAGCAGAAAAACTGAAAGGACAAAAATCATAAAATCAAAAAGCATTTACTCTTCACTCAGATTCACTGGATGACTAATTGGTAAAAGTTTGGTACAACTGTGCTCTTGCTCTTTCTCTTAGAATATGTATGTGTGAGTGTGTATGTATGAACGTGTGTGTCTGAGGTTAGGATTTTTTTATAATATCACTGCATAGGCAATAATGTTTATTTTCTCCATTGGATCACTCCGGAAGGCACAGAAAGGCACTTGGTATCATTAAGTTTGGAAACGTCATAATTCTTAAGTTAACTATTGGTAATACTTAGAAATCTTGTCCTTATAACTTTTCACTTTATGGTTTTAGCACTCATGAATGAGTCTTGCATGGATCAATTATTCATTGTTAGTTGTACATTGCTAACTTTGTAATTCTATTGTTCAAATATTTGCTGGGATTATTCTGAAAAAAAAAAAACAAAAAAAGAAATTTCCCCCTCAGCATTACTGTCTGAACAAGTCTTCAAAATTTTTTACAGTAATTTCAACAAACTATATGCAATAGTTGACTTTCAAGGGTTACACTGGTTCAATTTAAGGTCACTCTTCAGAAGAAAGACTTCAAAAAAGAATTGATAGGGCAGGCATGACTACAAATTCTTTGTCAAGGTAATGCTCAAGGTCACAAATATACGTCTTCTTCTCTTACTACCAAAGACAGATTTAACATAGATTTGAATATCAATGACTGAAAAACAAAAATTTATTATTTCTATTTTTCATTAAATCAAGTAGGACTTAGGAAAGAAGAAAGGAAACTACCTAAAGAGAGTATTGAACATTGACCAGCAACTTTGTTCATTAATGTGTACTCTTATAAGAACAACTTTAAAATGTTGATTTGAAAAAAATCACCAAAGTAAGATCATTAATACATTGTTAAGAGTATATGAGATTTACTTACACACTTAGACACATAGTCTCTAGAATTCTACTAGAAATTTTTACACCATTCTTATGTTATTGCAATTTGGAAATGAGGAGCGGGCAGAATAAACTGTGCGTAGTTTGCCAGAGACTGTGAGCAAAAATCTAATTCCTGATTCCTAATTCTAACACAAGAAAATGATTTTCAAGACTACTCTATGAGCCCAACTAAAGTATTAATCTATGAGCCCAGCTAAAGTGTTAGAGAATAAAATGAAAAAGGGTGGAAACAAGGAGAAAGAGAGAGATTTCCTTTCCACTCTTCATTGGAGAGAGCTCTACTTTAAAAAACATAGGGCAGTACTTATACCTAGCAATCATTTTAGATCGTGATATGAGAATTAAAAAAAAGTTACCTTATGTGTAACTGATTGTACCTATCATCACCAGATGGTTTTTTAATAGCTACGGCTAACTTCTTCCATCCTTCCTGGGGATCAAGAAAATCTGACAGCTTTCTAATTAGTCCAACATTGAGGGAGCGCACGTATGTTGATGCAGTTATTGGTTTGTTCATCTTCTATTCCTTAAACACAGAAAATTCTCATTAAGTATTTTACAGTAGCTTCAGAGATGTTATTTATTTATATACACACTGCACTCCTACTATGTCATAGAAAATGCTGGCACTGTATCACAACACAAGAAACAAAAATTTCATAGTCAACTCTTTGTTATCCTAAGAAGCTCCTTTTGTTATCCTAAGAAGAAATCAAATGGTTAATTAACTTGTATAGTTATTCTTTTCTGCCCTGGACATTTTTCTGAGTAAACTTCTATGAAAAGAGCAAAAAGTTTAGGCTTTCATAAAAAATTCCTGTGGGCATAGTCAGTAAATAAAACATTATTTTTCAAGGTAAATTATTTCCCAATCTGTACTCATTTACTCTAAAAAAATCGATTCCACCACTTTGGTGGAAATGAAAAGAATGACATATACTGTACATAATGTATAACCTCAACATAGAGAGAGATCAGCTGGCCCAGTGGACACAAAGCGATGCTACAAAGCCAAAGGTGGGTGACTTTTAATCCATGGCCTTTGGGCCTGTCTTTCATTGTTTTTGTTCAGACATTCCTCTAGGTCGTATAGCCCTGATGTACAAGTTGCCATAAGTGGTAACTTGTGGTTGCTGTGAGGCTGAACACTGTGACACTGATGTGTCAAATGTGTTAATGGTTGGTTACCCAGTGTGGACAGAGAGTGGGGTGGAGCTCCCCGATTAAAACAAGCTTGGAAGGAGGAGTGGCATCCACTTCCATAATAGCTTGCCTCCAGAAACCCTACGAACCTGGAGAGAGGATGAAAGGCACCCAAGCGTCGAGGACTCTCCTTCATAGGGTCGCTACGAGTCACCTGAGACTCGATGGCACTTAACAACAACAACAACTGTATTTGTACAACACTCTTTGATAGAAGTGAAAAATGGTACATGCAGCTATCATTTGTATAGCCCATGCATCTGCTTTCACATATGTGGTCATCCCTGACCTCTCCCCATTTTTTGGTCCATAGATCTGCCTGGTCACAATTCCTCCCCTAGTAAACCAAATCCTATGTTCTACCTGTTGAATAACTCTCTAGCAAGACCCTTCATTGACTTAGCCCTCTTCTTCTGCCACTCTATCCCTGAGAGCCATCTAATATTCCTCCAATGCCTATGAGTTAGTTCTGACCCTCCATCAGGTTGCAAATAAAAAATTCCTAAGGCTGTTGGGAGCTCTGGTGGCCTAGTGGCAAAAAGCTGCACTACAATCCCAGAGACACGTGGTTCGAGTCCACCAGATGCTCTGCTGGAGAAGGAGGGGCAATGTCCTCCTCCTGTACCAGAGACACGTGGCTCGAGTCCACCAGATGCTCTGCTGGAGAAGGAGGGGCAATGTCCTCCTCCTGTACCAGTCAGATCTGATTTGACAGTACACACACACAAAATAATAAAATTTAAAAAAAAAAATTCTAAAAAGAAAAAAATTCCCAAGGCTGTGAAGTCTTTACAGGAGAAGTTTAAACATATGCCTCTTATTCTTAACAGATGGGGAGACTTCCCTCTAATTAATCAAGACAAAAACACTCAGATATTTTTGTCCATTATCTTGCTCTCCTCTTTTTTGCTTTTCATTGTTGTGCAGTTGGAACTGACTCACAGTTGGTCCTCCAGTGGTTTCTCAAGGTTATAAATTACATAAAAGAAGACTGTCCATCTTTCTCCTGCAGAGCTGCTGCTGGATTCAAAGCACTAGCGAGGTGCAGCCTTTGGGTTAGGAGTGCAACGATCTATAGAATAAAGCTCCAGAGCTTCCCCATTCTCCTTAAGAGAGATGCAAATCAAAACAACTATGAGATATCATCTTACCCCAGTAAAAATAGCAAAATTCAACAGAGCAGCAAACAAGAAATGCTGGTGAGGTTGTGCAGAAACTGGAACCCTTATTCACTGTTGGAGGAAGTGTAAAATGGTGCAACCACTATGGAAGGCAGTATGGCACTTTCTCAAAAAGTTGCAAATAGAGATACCATTTGACCCAGTAATTCCACTACTGGGAATATGTTCTTATTGTTGTTTGTCTTCAAGTCAAGCATGACTTATAGCAACCCTATGAACAAAAGGCCTGAAGCCCTTCTACAACTATCGACATTTATAGAGTTCATAGAATTTCCGGAGGCAAATTGTTTAGAAAGTGGATGCCACTCCTGCTTCCAAACCTGTTATGCAATGTTACTGGCTGAGTTGCCTGTGATGCAAAATGACCCTATGTACAGCAGCTCTTAATCCTTCACTGTCCTGAACCAGTCTCATTAATTCTGACACACCTACCCCCATCGCCCCAGTTACTGTATCAATCCATCTCATCTGGGTTCTCCCTCTCCTGCACTGTCCGATCACCCTTCCAAGCATGATGTCCTTCTCCAAGGACCGATCTCTCCTGACCACATACCCAAAGTAAGTGAGGCAACCAGAACTGCCACTCAAGCAGAAACATGGGATGGGAAGTCATGTTAGGAATGCTACAACAAAGAAATGGTTTATGTGTGTGTGTGTGTGTGTGTGGGTGTTGTGGGTGGGCGGTTGGAAGGGGTTGGGAGAGGTGGGAGGGAGGTAAGTTGATCTATTCGGTGGTCAGCTCTCTCTATTTGGTGGTCAGCTCTCTGTGGACACTAATTGGACACTGTCTGTTCCCATGTTAGGGGCTACTTGGGACACTTAAGTGGGTTGTGTCATAACTGATGTTTAGGTAGGATGTAGCTGATGGTCATGCTCTCTTCTGACTGGCTGGAGTCCTTTTATACCAGGCTGACTGGAATGTCTCTCAAGATGTGAGTCATTGTGGAATGTTACCCAGCTTCCAGGTGGCCTTTTACCATCAAATCCATCTAAAATCATTAACTATTAAGTACAACAGAACAAAACACTCTCCAGGCCCAAACCATCCTCCTAATCTTTGTTATCTCTGATTGTGCTCAGTATTGGGGCGACTCTTTTAGGATATAAGGTTGTAGAAGAGAAGTCTTGAAGTCCTTGTAATATGCATCTATTTTGAGATAGAGCCAATGGAATCCTGTGTGTTGATGTGGAGGATGAGAGGATGGTTCTAAGACTTTCGGCCTGAACAACAGTTCTCTATCATTTACTAAAAAGTGGAAGGCTGTTAAAGGTGCAAGTTTAGTTTGGATGATCAGGAGCTCTTTTTCATAACCTATCCTTTGATAGGCCATGGTTTTTGCAATCACTTGTTATGCATCAGAAAGTTGGACAATGACTAGGGAGGATAGAAGAATTGA